CCCTTTTTCTGTAGAACCCAACATTTGTACCATTTTTGGTGGTCAGAAAAGTTTAGCAATTTCTTGAGATTCGTAAATTTCACCAGTTTTTAATGATCCCAACATTTCAGGAGGTGTAGCTAGATCGAAAAATATTAGAATTTTTGAAGAATTCTAAATTTTTCTCATTTTGGTGGTCCGAAATTTTTAGCTACGATGGGAGGTTCATAAATTCCACCAATTTTTGGTCATCCCAACACTTCAAGAAGTCTTCCAACATCGCAAAATATTAAAATATTTGGAAATCGCTAAATTTGGGGGGAACAAACGTAGTTCCTAAATTTCCTGAAATTTTATGATTATCAAATTTCAAAATTTTGGCAGGTCTGTAAATTTCCTCAATTTTTTTAGGTCTATAATTTTTAAGAATTTGTGGTGATCTCTAGAGTGCTATAAAATGTATATTTGCAAACTTTAGAGTTTTTCAGGTTATCACTTGGTTTTCTTTAGAAGTAAGTAAATTTTAGATTTGAAGAAAACTATGATTTTAAGCCATGTTCAAAATACAATATACTAAAAAAAACAAAAAAAAGGAAATTAGAAAACATTTTTTGCCAAAGTAACCCAATAGTCTTGTGAAGAGCTTCAAACATAACCTTATATTGTAATTCATGTAACGGTCCAAACTATGGCCTAACTTTTACGAACAAATACACAACAACGGCACAAGATCTCAACCTCCACAAATATTTATTTGATGAATAAAACGTATTGTATTTTCCTAAAAAGATTAAATTCAAATACCATCCCACTTTTTCATTTTTAAAAGGTCCAAATATAGCCCGATATGGTTCTTTTGTGTAGAAACTATGGACACCGCATCGATGTCACAGATTAAAAATGTCTAATAAGTGCTTCTCCTTCTAGCCCCATCTTTTCCCCTGCTTCGATATATCCCTCCATTTCTTTTCCTTTCAGCAACGGTTACTGACTTGTTTTGGCACTGCCGTGCTTCAGTTTACTGACTTGAATCGGCCCGTCTGGCCTGCCGAGGTCTGTCTGGAATGTGACTGCCGAGTCCCATACAATGGATGCACACAGATAACGTTGGGCACATGTGGTTTCACTTAAGACTGCATACACTCCCGGTCCCTTGTTTACACAATTTAACTTCTCTGGAATGACACCCACTTAAAAAATCCATATAAATAGTCCATCCAACTCACGGTTGACTCTTCCCTTACTTCTCTTCCCGTGGTAACACAGCACAAGTTCAGAGTGTCCTTCCGGGTCTGCTCTTCTATAGCTCTGATGCTTCAGTGTCAGGGTCTTCGAGTGTCAGGTCTCCTCCCGTCAGGTTTTCCAGCGTTGCAGGCAGGGTCTCCACTTACTGGTGGTTTTACCTTCGGTAGATTTTGATCCCACTTCTTGCACCACGTGTCACAGAATGAGCCGAGTCACAGAGTCCGAACTTCTCTTTATAAATAATCAACTTCCTATTCTAAGACAGACACCAACAGGACCTCCCTCTCTCTCCCCTCTGGTCTGACCTAGCCCTCACACTCTTGGGCCAAACTGGTACAAACGATTGGATTCCATCACACACGTTCAAAGAAAAAAGATAAAATCCATGGGTAAATCTACGACACTCTCTTACTTCCGGGTCGGCTTCGTAACCGGCCACGAAAATCAGACAAATTCAGTGAAAAACCTCCTGTTTTCCTGATTAAAAACGTACCTGCAGTGCAGAGTAGCTTTCGTCAGCATGTTGGAACTCCAAACGCCGTTACATCACTCCCAAAAAAGCCAACGACGCGTCGAAATTGCCTAAGAACGACCGCGCAGAATGAAAACACTCGATCTGATAACACAGATCGGGGACGCAAATTTCCTACCCAGCTACATTTCGAAGCGCGAAGAATGACAGGGACCAATTGTCATTGTTAAATCCGTCAAGGATATAATATCCTTGGATCCATGAAAATATCTTTATAGAAACTTTATTGACACGACAAAAGTACAGAGACTTTCGTAAGTAAACAAGGCACAATATACCCCTGCAGAAAAAGCCAATTATGCACACGCGAATCCAAAAACATACCCTTTCCACCTGCTTTGCACACATACCCTCCCAACACAGCAACTCAGACCACCACATACCATTACAATGCAAACCTGTCTATATTAGCACCCGCTAATATTTTTTTCTAGTACAAATCTATGTCAGGGTAATACGTTAAAATAAACCTCCAGGTAGTGTACTAAATAAAATGAAGGTCGGATAATCAAACGTGCCATGATTTGAAAAAAAAAAGCTGACACAGAATTTTTATACTAGTAATGTCATCTCATGTCGTCTACTAGTATGGACAGAGGAATTAAATGTGATATAACATTTATTAGAGATGGTTACTAACATACGTATCTGCCAAAATTTTGCTACTACACTGTACATGTAGTAATGCAAGGTAACCAGTTTACGTTCGGTGACAAAGGCGCACTTTGAGGTGTACCATGAAAAATTAAATGTCGTGATTGCAAATATGGAATAACATGAATATGATCCTTAAATGGTTGTCTTTTATTTATTCAATGCATGGGAATAAGTTTGCATTCAGCGACACAACAGAATATCTTCCAAAATGACGGGACAGCAAAGTAACATGGATGCGGACGCATGTCGTGTCTTTCACATAATACAATACTCCATGTTTCGTTGATTTTTTTTTTAATCACTAGAATGCTAGGAAATTACAAAAGATGACATCAAACCTTGCTCTCTTCAACTCAATCATCCATAGTGTTAATGTAAAGCAGCTGTCACATGCATCTGTAACATGAGCACCTGATGTTGTACCCTACAGGTGAGAAATTTATCCCTGCCAGCCAGCGGCCTGATGGCACCTGGCGTAAGGCACGCAGGGTCAAGCAAGGTTACGTACCACAGGAGGAAGTACCAGTGTAAGTTGAATGATAAATAATGATGATGATGATTAGTGCTGTGTACCTAAACCCACGTTCAAGTCCGGATATAATTCAGGTTTAGGTTCAGGTTTAGACTTGTAAGTCCGGACTTAAACCCATGGCATATACGAAATATGGAAGGGACTTCTCAGTGAACATTTCCCATTGGAAAATGGGGCATCGTTGGCACAAAATTAAAGATGCTCCTGCAATTTGGAAATACTCTCTTTGAGTACACACTTGAAAGTCTGGATCTAAACCCATGGCATATGCAAAATTGCATGTTGGCAGACATTTTACATGCAATTTCAAAAATACCTGCTTGTATATGCTTGTATACTTTAGTAAACACAAAAACACAATTGAAGCCCTAGCCTGATTTTTTTTCAGTCTGCAAAATTGCAGGTTGCTTAATTTTTGTTCTGCAATATTGAAAATGTCTCTGCAAAATGCAGACTGCAGATGGGTATTTCTAACACTGATTTTGTATCTTTAGTTATGAGAGTAAAGGAACTCAGTGGATGAAGAGCAAGCCAACACTCCCGCCAGGTTTCCACCCAGACCCTGAGGAACAAGAGAAGCCAACTTCTGAGGAAGACAAATATGCTGGCATGTCAAAAGCTGCCAAGAAAAACGCCAAGAGAAAAGAGAAGAAAAAACAACAGCAGTCAGATGGAGGGGTCGGTCCAATCACCCAGGGGGTAGAACAGGTTAATCTATCCAACCAATCACAGCAAGCCAAGATAAACAATGGCCAATCACAAGACAGCACCGCAGAACCAGCCAAGAAGTTGAAGAACCTGAAAAAGAAGTTACGACAGATTGAAGAGTTGCAGGCAAAGATAGAATCAGGAGAAATAGCTAAGCCAGATAAAACACAGCTAGATAAGATAGAGAGAAAATCAGACATTCTAAAGGAAATAAGAGAACTAGAAAAACAAGTAGGTTCATAATGGATTAGTCTTTACCTTCAGACTTGAAGCTGAGTTTCAAGACATAGTTATATAGTATACAGATAGGTCTGGAATTTTTATTCAAAACATGTTTGCTATCCATACAATGAAAAGAAAGCTGAGATCTTGTTGATTTTTTTCTCATGACTTAAGCGTGATTTTGTACCAAGGATTAAAGTGGTTAAACACTGTGAAGTGTAAAAAATACAGAACAATATTTGTCTTTGCCTGTAAGTTTGATGTTAGGCACCGTATACTTGCAAATTTACCTTTAGGCCACACCAATTTAATTTCTTGGTTAACGGATTCGCCCGCTTCATTTTTTTCTGATTTGCAAATAAAAATAAAATGCTCATATTTTGCCCTGAACAGTTGAAAACAGTCTTTTTCTTCCTAGTTGTTACAGTTATTCTATCTTTCAATGCAATGGTGTCATTAAAAGTTCAAACTTCATGATTGTTTAAATTTTGAACCAGCCTGGTGTGAAAGGGCTCCTATCGTACCATTTTGGGCCATAATAGGATGCCTAGGCCTGTTTTTTTTTTTCGCCCGCCCGCTCCATTATTTTTCTAGAAAAATCCGTTAACCAAGAAATTAAATCGGTGTGGCCTTACCCAACAACAAAAGAGTATTGCATGTCATCAAGAAAGAGAGATTGCTTAGAAAAACACATCCTAGCTTTTAGTACTTGCACTATCCTGTTGTTTATCTACATTCTGATAATTTCATTGTAACAAACTTGCATTAGCATTGCATACATAAATGGTTTGACAAATTGGACTGTACATTGAACACTACTGCTGTTACTAAAAAAAGTACATAGCATAAAAGTTCAAAAGTGCCATAATTGTTGTATCTAAATATGATCAAGCAATGTATCCTGTGGATTAACCAACGTTGATATATAGCACAGTGAAAGAAGGAAATTCATTGCTGTGTGAGCACTGAAACATTTGTTTCCTTCTTACTTTGCTCTTCAGTGTCAGATCCTAATATCTTACAGATGAACATCAGTGTATTGTGATTAAAATCTAGTCAAAATTTGTGTAAGTAAGAACAAGATGTAGCACATTCCTTTAAGTGTGTCTTTTAATTATGTAATTAGCAATAAAAGAACTGCTGGCATCCCCTGTTTGGCCGTTCTTGTATCTTTTTAGTTCTTGGCGACGTCTCAGGGAGGAGCCTAATGGTACAGTATTGTGTGCAGTTCGCAAGCATTCTAGGAATTGTACAGGAATTTTGTCCACAGACATGGAATGTCCACAGGAATGTCTCCCCGTGATTGTTGACTACCCACATTCCTGGAAACCCTTCGGAAATCTGTCTGCGGATGCCCTACTTGTACTTTCTGTGACCCTAGGGCTTGTTCACTATACACTTAGGGGAGGGGAGGGTACTAAGGCTTCTTCAAAATCATGGCAGTGCCATGCAAACAATAACCCTAACAGCAACCACCGTCGCCATGGCAATGTATGTTTTCAGTCTTGTTAGGATTTGTGACCGAGGTTGTCGCACTCTCAGTTAGGGTTGGCGGGCACGAGCGCGTTTCTTTTGAAGCGCCGGCGGTGTTCCTCGGGATAGGTCACATGTGACAGCGGAACCTTCTGTAGCGCCCTGTGCATGTAAAAATGAAATAAACATAACATATATATTAAGGCCATGAATCAATAATTGGTTTATCAATCATCTGTCAAAATCACCTCCCAACACCAACTATGTAACCAGATACAAAGACACAAGCCCACGACTGAGCCACCCAAAACAGTACTTCCGTACCGGGCAGGAACAATCCAGAAGTACACAAACCTGCTATCTGAGGTGACTCCCAGGAACATCAGAGTTCCCAAACAGAAGGGGAAGGCCAGGACCGGCAGCTGCAGCTGGGTAAGAACGGAAAAATCACCTCAGTTTTTTTGTTTCGCATAGAACAAAAAAAAACGCCTTTTTTTAGGCGTAACACATCAGTTTTGTAGCCTGGAGTCCAGGCTTGGTAGCTTTAGACCGCTCCCCAAGATCCGCTGTTGGCGGGGAGCGGACCAAAGCTAACAAGGCTGGACTCCAGGCTACCAGTTTTGTACGTACAAGCTGCGCAAGATCGGACTGTAAGGTTTGAACCACTCACACCGGGATGGACCACTACTCTTTTTGATAAGTGTGGTGCGGGGCTTCCATTTAACGTCCCATCCGAGGACGTCCCTAACCGAAGCAAGGCACTCATTTACACCTAAGTGAAGTGAGGAAAGTCGTGTAAAGTGAATTTCCTAAGGGCAAGATCAGTGACATGGATAGGATTCGAACCCGGGACCTCTTGGTCCTGAGCCGAACACGCTAACGTTTGCGACCGCACAGGTTTAAAGAAACATTACCTCCTTTAATTGTTGCAATTCGGAAATATTCCGTAACCAACGTTAACTTTAAAATTCATTTTACAAGCTATTTTTTTGCTATCGCTGCAATGCATTTTATTTGTTTTACATAGATGAAAAAGTGGGCCATTTCTGATATTGACCTAGACATCTATGATAGCCCCAAATGCTATGACAGGAGCCATGAAGTCAACATACCTGGCTGATTTGTAATTCAAACAATGAATTTCAAACTTTTAATCAAACCACTGTATTGATACATGGAAAACTGTTACAGTAACAACTCTGGAGAGAAGGGGCTTCCTTCAGCTGTTGGGGCCAAATATGAGCATTCTAGAGTTGACTTAAAGGCTGAATTGCTTTTTTCTTTTTGCAAATAAAAAAAATGAAGCGGGCGAATCCGTGAACCAACATATTAAATTGGTGTGGCCTAAATAAACATAGAACATATACATATACGTACCATAGCAAATACGTCCACCATGCCTGCCCAGAGAAGTGCACAGAAAACACCTGAGTGACAAAGTGGTAATAAAAAGGTCTTTATATCACACACAATGGTGACGTACATAAATAACATCGCTGTCAATAGAGATGAACTCAGTTGACCCCAGTGTACATTAATTGTAATGTGAAGGTCAGTGTCGTGTTTTCTTGTGGCGCGGTTGTTTTAAATTATTGCGTCTTTTTGCTCGTTTTGTACGACGTTAGGAGGGAAACGTAATTACATGAAAAAACCGACAACGCGTTCAGACATGTTGGTTATTAATTTTTGTAGCTCAAACAAAGTAGAAGATGAAGTCCACTTTGTCGTTGATTGTAGTTTATATATACTCTATAGTAATGATAGAAATGATCTTTTTAGATATATTACAAGTACGTTTCCATACTTCCAATACCTTACTACGATTAAAACAATGCCTCTTTCTTATGCGCTTTGGTAATCCTGTATTAAACAAACCCATTTCAAATTATATTTTTAACATCACTAAGAAACAAGAATCTGTTTTGTACTACAAACATGTAGCCTCCTTCGCAGTCTTGTTGGGCGTGGGCGTTATTTTTGTGAGAAGGTTTCGCGCTCCAACAAGTAAACCCTTCTCTCCGCGGCAAAAACTTCCTCGGCAGCAAATCGTCCCTCGCGGCGGCATATTACTCGCGTCGCTCACAAAAATAACGCCCACACCCAACAAGACTGCGAAGGAGGCTAGGTATAACCACCCTTCGGCGTAACACACCAGTTTACGACCACCTGTTGTTACCAGGTAACAATAGGTGTGCCAGTTTTAGTGTAATCTATGACAGGCTAATTTTTCAGCGCTCATTTTATGAATTATTAATGTGTTGTTAATGTAAAACACTCGACTGTCCTTTCATAGAACATTATGTATCCACCATTGCACAAGATCCTGCAATGAGAAGTCTCAAAAGTTAAAAATTCCTTTCTAAACGATCTCATTTTTTTTGGACTGAAACAAACTGTAAACTTTTATGTACGTATACGTCATAGCACATGGAGGCACATACGTAAACATATCTTTCGAATTCATTTTAGTTTATTGATAACCTTTATTGTACATTCATGCCCTATCGGGCTAAGTACAGGTGAACAGATTAAGGGATATACATGTTTTAATACAAACAGTACAACTGATACTAATCTAACTACATCAGCTCTAAAACTACTCTAATACAGAGGTTCGGCTTCTTCCCGTTTCTTTGTGATGTTAAAAATATGATTTAAAATCAGTTTGTTTAATACAGGATGGTGAAAGCGCATCTTAAAGATGATTTTTTTCAATATTAGTCAAGGATTGGAAGTATGGAAACGTTCTTGTAATATATTTAAAAATAGATTATTTCTATCATTACTATATAAAGTACAATCTACGACAAAGTCGACTTCATCTTCTACCTTGTTTAAGCTACAATTTTTTTTAAAAATCACCCAGACAATTTTGTGACATACCAAGCGACAGGATTTTTGGTTGGCGAATTTCCGAACGACCCCTAATATGCGATGATCCGTCCAACAATAGCAGATGCAATTTTACAGCCTTGTTGTTTGATGAGATATTTTCTCAAGGACCAGTGGGCGATAACCACGTCATACCTAGGACACAGCTACGCAGTGGAAAAATAGAAATTCGGACCCATCCAACTTCGTATGCTCAGTGTCTCGTCAAAAGGCTTATCATATATGATGTTCATGCACTAAGATAGCAGGATATGCTATTGAAAACTATTCTGTCGACACAGGTGCGTAACAGGTGCAATTTGGATATTTCCTTTTGTCTGTCACTGTGGAATTTTACAGCAAGGACCCTCTCGTCATTTGGTGTTGTGTAAAATGTCGCAATGGCTGTAAACGCGGTCTAAAAACTACATCGTGCGTCAAACCTGAACTCTGAGGAACTCGAGGCAGTCTTCAGACTAGCGGAGAAACATCGAAAGAAAACTACAAGGTGATGAAGACAAGAAAAATGGCCTGGCATTGACGCAAGTTGACCAGGAACCTTCACTGTGGAATTTTACAGCTAGGTCCCTCACGTCATTTGGCGTTGTGTAAAATGTCGCAATGGCTGTAAACACGGTCGCGATCTTCTAAAAACCACATCGTGAGTCAAACCTGAACTCTTAGGAACCCGAAGCCGTCTTCAGACTAGCGGAGAAACATCAAACGTAGAAGAAACCCAAGGAAAGAAAACTACAAGAAGATGAAGACAAGGAAAATGGCATTGACGTAAGTTGACCAGGAACCTTCACTGTGGAATTTTACGGCTAGGACCCTCTCGTCATTTGATGTTGTGTAAAATGTCGCAATGGCTGTAAACCTGGTCATCGTGAGTCAAACCTGAACTCTTAGGAACACGAAGCCGCCTTCAGACTAGCGGAGAACATGGGGAAAATAGTGACGTCGCTCCTTACGTTCGTCTTCCTAGCTTATCACATGTTCGGGGCAGCTATCTTTGACGCACTCGAACGAGAGGAGGAGGCTAAGAGAAGGGATTTTGTGTTTTCGACACACGAATCGGTACTATCTATCATGTGCCCCTACATGGATCATCACTGTGTGGACGACACGAACAACGCCACAGTAGATGTGGCTGCGCACTTTGCTAACGTCACCAACAGGCTTCAGGAAAAGTTTGAAGAGTTGTCCAACCGCAGAGAGACGTTACACATCGCGGATGTCCCGAGGATACTTTTAACCGCGAGAGAACTCAACAACCTCATCCGAAATGTCACCAGCATGGCCGAATTGGCCACGAAAACCGGCATCGACCCGCACAGTACGAAGAAGAACAGCACCCCAGAGGAGTGGATTTTCCCCAAGACCAACCACTTCTGCATGACCGTCCTGACTACCATCGGGTACGGGCGTTTCTCCCCCGCTACAGAAGGCGGCAGGCTGTTCTGTATCTTCTACGGGCTTTTCGGCATCCCTTTAACAGTTGTCATCTTTGCCATCCTGGGAGAAGTCATGAAGGAGGGTGTCCAGCGAACAGCAGATTTCGTCACGGCGCGAGCTCCTGCTCACTGGAGCCCGAAACACATCAAGAGAGCCACGGTGGGTGTCTACCTTACACTGGGGAACCTCCTGTTTGTCATGGTCCCTGCTGTGGTGTTTGTTCACGAGGAACAGTGGACGTACACCGAGGCTTTTTACTACATCTTCGTCACCCTGAGTACTGTCGGATTCGGTGACTACATGGCGAACAGGCGGAGAGGAGTGGACTACAGCACGGCGTATGTCATCGCACGGCTGTCCTGGTTGTACATCGGACTGTCGTACTTTTCCGTCATCTTCTACCTGTTGACGCAAGCCATACAGAACGGACGGAGTAAGCTAGAGGAGCGGGTCAACACGGCCAAGGAGAGGGTGAGGGAAGTCGCTTCTTCCACGGGGAACAGCGCAGCGCTTCGCCGGCGGAGGGTGAGGAAAATTCACGTTGAAGAAGTGGAACCGAACCCTACAGGATTGGCGGCGGTGGACTAAACAACACACCGCCGTTTAATTATCGTTGTTACACGGAGAAGAAACACAAAACGTAGAAGAAACACAACGAAAGAAAACTAGAAGAAGATGAAGACAATTCTGCAAGGAAAATGGTCTTGACGTAAGTTGACCAGAAAACGTCTTGACAGTCCAACAGATCTTTCAGAATGCAAGAAAATGGCCGGGCAATACATGTACACCAATACTAATCTATGCTAAGCATGGAGAAATATCTGTAGAAAAACTATTCATAATTGTTTGTATTAATCCGTTGCATGCATGTGTTTTGGATTAACGTCAGAACATTATATACAAACAATAATATATATTAACGTCCTGGTGACTATATATCGATCTAGTAAAAAGGTTACTGATCAACTTTGCTTGTTTTGTTTTTAGTTTGTTTTTATAACAACGCTGGATCTTGATCTTCTCAGCTGTTCTAGCACGTGACGATATTTCGTGCCCTGTAGACCAGTTGAGTCTCTGTATTTTTATGATTATAAATTAGAACCATGATAATTGGCGTCAAGGGAATTGCTGCCAGTTTGTCAATTGTCATTTAATGATACTATAGAATGCCTTTGTGCAGTCCATGGGCCAGACCCCCAAATTTCACATATCGGTACCACAGTGAGGTGGCAAATTCTCATTAATAGATATGCATACTAGTATACAAACATTTTTTCATACTATGTCAACTGATAGTGGTAAGTTAAGATTTTATGCAAAATGTAAAACCATGTACAACATAGAGCGCTATCTTAATCTTGCAGACTTCGAACTACGCTCAGCCATTTGCAAAATTAGAGTTAGCGGAGATAAAGAGAGGTCGGTATAGAAGGCTATCTGTTTACGAAAGAATTTGTAAATATTGTAATGCAAAGGCTGTGGAAGACGAAATACACTTTTTTATCTCAAATTGTTCCTTTCATAGCAACGCTCGAAATGAGTTGACTATTCAAACTTCTACAATTTACCTCAATTTTACTAAACTTACAGACAAAGAAAAAAATATTCCTCTTTTAACTTCCCAAAACCCACTAATTTTGGAAAAGGTGGGACATTACGTCTTCCAATGGTCTAAAAAAGAGAAGTCAAACCCTTAGACATAGTTTTAGACATAGCTATAGCTCTAGACAACTACCTTTTATCATGTAGATTTTAGTTATTTTATACTACGTTTCATTGTCCTTTTCTGTTTGTAATCTGCAATTAGCTTTAGCCCCCCGAGCATGAATTTGCAATAAACTTCATTATTAATATGCTTTTTGAAAAGTAGGATGTCTGTGGAGTATATTTTGATATGATAGCCGTTGCAGATTTGTAGCTTTGACCTTGCTATCTGACCTTGAAGTTTGACTCCATATGGACCGCGTCCTTTTGCGCTTATAATACCCATGTAGACCGATAAGAGGTATTGCCAGGAAGTCTATACCGTCCTTCGTCTCTGTTGTAGACTCTCGAATGTAGAGTCACACTGTACTTGATACTAGTAGTTCAATGACACAACAGTGACAGAAAGTGTTGTGTATATAATACAGTGGTGCCAGAGTATACAGTGCAATTTTACGGAATACAGTGCAATTTTACGGAATAGAGTGCGATTTTACTAGTATACGGTGCAATGTTACGGAATACAGTGCAATCGTACTAGTATACAGTGCAATTTTACTAGTTCCCTGGGAAAGGCACTTTACACGGCTTTCCTCACTTAGCTCAGGTGTAAATGAGTATTGTCCTGCAATGTATTTGTCCCCTGTGTTGGTGGCGGCATTAATATAACTTGAGTGTGTCGTCACCACGTCTGGTGATTACATGTTGGAATAAATAAAGAAATTTTACTAGTAGACAGACAGTGTAATTTCACTAGTAAAATATACTAATACGATTGCCCTGTATTCCGTAAAATTGCACTGTATACTCTGGCACCCCTGATATATTCTACCCTACCACAGAGTATTGAGAGGACATGGCTCCGGATAGTCAGGACGTAGAACACTCCTCCTACTGCTGCCGTGCCTAACACAGAGTTGTACGCGCATGCACCTGAGTAGACCCAGTGAAGGGGGACTCCAAGGATGAGAGCTAAGGAGAAAACAGATATGGTCGGTGTCAACCACAGTTGTTGGCATCAACATTACAAATCACACGGGTTCGAGTCCTGACATGCCACCGATCTTGTGCCCTTGGGAAAGGCACTTTACACGACTTTCCTCACTTCGCTCAGGTGTTCATGAGTATTGTACTGTCCCTGTGTTGGTGGCGGCATTAATATAAGTTGAAAAAAACTTGAGTGTCCCGTCACCACGTCTTGTGATTGCATGTTTCGGAATATATAAAATTTAAAAAAAATCACACGGTTAAATAAGCCTCCGTAACAGGCTTATAGAACTTGGGGTTTGGTGGTCTAGCAAAAAACGGGGGTAATTCAACCAGGCCGGCTATGTTGTCTATATGAATTCTTGAATACCTCTGTCCTTGGTTGATAACTCTGGAACTTGAAGGCGTGGCTATTTCTTGTTCTCTTCTGGGCTGGTATTAGGTACTTAGTAATTGGGATGTCCACCAGTTAATTAGTCATTTTGTACATCATGCATAGTCTGGACATTTTTCTTCTGTCTTCCAGTGACACCCACTGTAGGTTTCTTTTCATTTCCGTGACACTAGCACCTCTTTCACAGTTGTTCATACAGAATCTTGCAGCTTGATTCTGCACCCTTTCCAGTTACATGTATATCCCCGATTTCTACTATTTATTCAGCCTGCAAAGGTGGAGACTAAAAAAAACCAAACCTACCCGTGCCAATACCGATGACAGCTCCTATGACGCAGTGATAGAACACGACGGGTGATGACACCAGGACACCAGCGGAGATGAGCCCCCCGGACACCGCCTGTCCACACCCGTAACACTGGCCGATGGCTATCGGTACTGCCTGCACTACCTGTACAACAATTGTAATAGACTTTATTTGCAAACCCCACGAGGCCCATATCCGAACTTGACCTCCATTTATATTCTCAATGGCGACTTGCCCACTAAAAATCATAGACAACCATTTAAGGATTCCCGAGTTATCTGGAGTACAACAAAAAACGCAAACACAAAAGGTCAGCTCCAGTCACGTAAGAACCCCCCACGAAGCCCATTTCTGGCCTTGACAATGCCCGTCACTAAGACAACCTGCCTACTAAAAATCGTGAACCTCGGACCATGCCTTCAAACTTTTTCATGCATAATCTGCCAAACAGTGCCAAAACGATTTCATAGCCTTCTGTCGAAGGCAATCATGCCCGAAGGCTAATTTCTTTTACAGTCAAAGATACTATTCGGTACAATACAATAATAGGAGACAGACAACTACTGTCTGGGAAAAACTTATACTTCTAATACTACTACTACTACTCGTACTACTATGCTTGCTATTATGAGGTTTGACTTCTTTGAAGGCAGTGGATAATGAATAGCACGAATGTTTTTGTCTTGTTAGTGTAGCTAAGTCTAGGAATGTGTTTTGCAATATAAGACACGAAAGAAGCTGGGACAGGCGTGTAAAATTTCGTCTGTAGGAAAACACAATAATAACGGTTGTTGTGGGGTCGTATGGCGTAACGGCAGAGTGCTCGAGAGGTCCCGGGTTCGAGTCCTGTCGTCATGCTACCGATCATGTGCCCTTGGGAAAGGCACTTTACACGACTTTCCTCACTTAGTGCCCTGTCCTGTATTCGTCCTCTGACTTGGTGGCGGTATAAAATAAGTTGATATAATTTGAGAGTGCTGTCACCATGTCTTGTCATGAAATGTTGGAGTATAAAAAAAATAATAACGGTTTTTCTGACAAACCCTGATCCAGTCTATGGGGTCTGCTGCTGACTGGTTAGCTGTCTGGTTACGCAGCAGCTGCTGTTCCTCTGCCTGGTACAGCCGCGGGGAGCTGTCCTGAGTCCCCGCCGCTGCTGTGTAGACCAGGACAGCCAGATTGAAGGCCAGGTTGAGAGCCGGTAGCTCCGCCTTCCCCAGCACTCCTGACAAACCGCTGTGTAGAATCGTGCTGAGGAACAGGAACGGTTATGTTAGGACCAAAGGAAGCTTTTTTTAAAACAACATACATACAATGCAATGAACCACCCCTTACACAATAATTCAACTCATAACCGATCATAATAATAACTGATAATAACAATAATAATAATCATAATCATAACAATAATAATAATAATTCAACTCGTAACAGATCATAATAATAATAACTGATCATAATGATAACAATAATAATCATAATCATAATGATAATGATAACAATAATAACAATAATGATTAATTCAACTCATAACTGATCATAATAATAATAATAATCCAAAGGAAGCTTAACGGTTTTCTATCTTTCAATTGTCTACCATAAAATAACACAAGTCTACTATTACGCGAAGCTTTTTTCCAACTAAAACAGGACACGGTTTTGTTAAACCCAGTGGTTTTTACTAGTAGTTTCTTAGTAGTTATCAGTAGTTCTATGTGTACTAATCGTCTGTTTTTCATACCAAATGTTTCTTCTGTTCCTGCAATTAGCCCTCGGGCATGAATTTGCAATAAAACATTCATTCATTACTCAATGTAAGGAGTAGGAGGTGGGGTCTCATGGCGTAACGATATAACGCTCGGAACCAAGAAGTCCCGAGTTCGAATCCTGCCTTGCCACCGTTCTTGTGCCCTTGCGAAGGCACTTAGCACGAATCTCCTCACTTAACTCAGGCGAAAATGAGTATGTTTATTGTCCGTTTATGCGTTTTTCCTCTGGCATAAATATAAGTTGAAAAAAAACTTAAGTGCGCCGTGTCCGACAGTTGTAATAAATGCTGGCAAAGGAAATAAATCCAAGGAGGTTTCCGTAGTTTTAAACCACCTTGTTCTATGCAGTTGATCTATGCAGTTTGAAACAGCTTCTGTTACCTCATGATTGCCATGACGATAACGGGAAGAACCGTCAGTCCGTGCCAGTCCGGGTCCCGGGACAGGGCGGCCAGAAGGAGCCCGGTCAGCAGCCCGTTAAACCCGCTACCCCCGCTCTCCACACAGCCTTTATCCTAAAGTAAAGTAAAACACAAGACATGATCATCTTTTTTTTGTGACGGCTCAGTGGCGGACTCAGTAAAACAGTTCTAGAATTGATCAGTCACAATCGTCTTACGATCACAAACTGAAGGGATCTTGTTGGGATAGTCATGTACGTGTGGTATAAAATTAAGCCGTTTCGTTACGGAAAAGACCGTCTTAGATACAATGTATACTTGTCGGCGGTGCAAATTTCAATCTCGTAAACGGTCGTCGCATTTCAGAACGGTCGTCGCCTTTCGATGCCATATCGCTGACTGGTCGATGCCATATCCGAGCGTATCATAACTTTTTTGAGGCCCAAAAACCGAGTAAAACCGGAAAAGTACAAGCTCGGATTCGAACAAGGGTCAAAAAGCGTAGCTCTAAAATATAAGACCTTAACCTATACACTAACCCTCTATGTCACGAAACATCACGGTGTGGATGGACCGTGATGATGACACACCTAAGGCCATGTTGATTTGATTATATGGATGACATCCGCGCGCGCATGAATTTTTGGCTATTTCCAAAAAAAAAAAGTTTTCAACCATACTGTAAATCGTGCAAAACAGTTGCTAAGGAAAACATTTAGAAACGATACCAATGTCGTAGAATGCCAAAATCAAAGGAAAAAAGACAAAAATGTAAAGAAATGAATTCGAAGAGTAGATTATTCGCCATAACATATACTGTGCCATTTGTTCAACCTTCATGACCACGTAGATTTCATAGTGAAAGCAACTTTTTTTTGCAAAACTTTTTTTTTTATTCGCACGCGCGCATCAGTTTTGGGGTTCCCAGAGGATGTCATCCATATAATCAAATCAACATGGCCTAAAGTTAGCCGTTCTGCGATATGGCATCGACCTTTTTAAAAGTCGACTACCCTTTACGAGACGGAAATTAGCATCGGCGGTTAACGTTTGTAACAGCCTGCTCGATCCTAAGAGTATTGTGACCACGCTGTAAGTTGATTCTCAATCAGCGATATACCTGAGAAAAGATGACCGCTGTGAGGGTGGCGAAGAACAGACCGGTCAGTCCGCACAGTCCCATCCACGGACTGTCCACCATCAGCCCGATGATGACCAGCACGCCTCCGAGAGGGTGACTGAAGAGGGGGAAAGAAAAAAAGTAAAAATTTGAGACAAACCTAGCTTCTACCAGAAGAATATATAGGAGAATATTTGCCAGGGGAGTTTGGCCGCCTTGGGGTTTGACTGGCCGCGCCGGAGGGAAAGAAACTACCTCCCCGCGACCGGACTCCCCTGGCCAATTTTACTCCCTCTTTTGCCGAATTCTACGATCCGTATTCCCGTCCAATTTTGCCGTCAGGACTTATTATAGGCAGTAGCAAACAACTCCAGCACGAACCTACCTCAGGAACAGAGGCTGAGTGGTGCCCCTCATGCACCAGTCCAGGAACCGTACGGGAACAGGCTTTCCCTCCAGCCACAGTTTCAGCGGCCTCATGTCGCCACAGACGTAACGGTAAAACACACATCTGGACTCCTCTGCGGGCACGTCGATATTTTCTTCCGCACTCGCCACTTCCACCGCGTCAGCCGCCATCAAGCTGGATTTGTCCTCCCCGAAAATCCGCGTGTACGTGTTAAATCAGGTTAATAAGTATCCAAAGCTATAGGGCACGTATGTGCGTGATGTCGAATATCTTTTTGCAGGGGTAGTATTTAAAAACCACCTTTAGTGGCACGACAAATATGACTCAGGTTTGGTCAGCAGGGATTGTCAGTTTTTACTCGGATCAACAGCTTCAACAAGTCGTCCGCTAATGAGGATATATTTGGATCAAATCAGACGACAATGGGCAGGGACATATTTGATCTTCTTTGAAGCGGCTTTAATTCTGAGAAGGCGGGTAACTCTGACACGCAGCAGGGATCAGTACGCGTAGTGTCTGTTTTTGACATGTACTTGTTTTACACAGCATCTGCGCTAGACAGACTGGTTAACGTTCAAAATAGTTTCTGTCTGTTCGGACGTACTAGTATCAAACAACAGCACTAAACCAAGTTCTCACCAAAGTGAAAATAAAAACGATAGTTTATAATTATCATTATTAATTATTATTATTATTGTTTACTTGCACAAAATGTCAAATCATTTAGCTTTAAATGAAATATTAAAGAGAATATGCAGGGGAAAACAAAAGCCTAAAAATAGTAAAACAGTAAAAGATTTATCAGTGCTTTCCCCTAAATGCGATTAATTACTTATGACTATGACTGAAACTAATTACTGAACATTATAACACACAAGCAAATCGTCATAGATATTGAATACTGAATATTATATGATGATATCTTTCAGTCTGGCTGTACAAAAGATGTGGTGTAATACACGCGAGTGGACGTGAGAACAGAATGAACGAAATAGCAGAGCACCGGAAATGTTGTTCAGCACCCTGGACATGGCCGGTATGCCAAAGACATGAAACTTAGGCCACAGCAAGTAAATTTTACGGATGACATCCTCCACAGACTCCAAATCTAATGCGAGCGGGCGAAAAAAAACAAGGCGGGCCGAAAAAAACAAGGTTCTTACATTTTGAAATTTTGACTCAATCATTGTACAAATGGTTTTGATTCAATGGGAACATCACATATACACAGCCAACACCACATATCACTGCATCAAAGTAAGAAACAAAACATAAAATCAGAGCCTTGTCTTGTCTCCTCTCTTTATAGTTATCTGTCATCCACCTTCCGGCATGGCAACAGACATCTTGGCCTATTTTCGGCATGGTGACCACTGTCAGAAGGCAACAAAATTTCTTGTTTTTTTTTCCAAAATCAGGCGAAAATTAATGCGCGCGCTGATGTCATCCATAAAAATTACTTGCTGTGGCCTCAATAATACTCCTTGTCAGTGAGTGCTTTGTGTGTGTGCGTTTTGTCTGCAAGCGTTTTGTGTAGGAGGGAGGACCATATTGTTGGAGTGTCCGATCACGACGTCTAGACCTATGACGCACGACTGCACAGAAGGGGGAGGGGGGCAGTTGTCAATACCTGCGTTAGCTCGGCAATTTTAGGCAGGCTGTCTTTCATGTGTTTGTAAACATTGTGATTATTCCTTTATGTTTAGCGATGATGGCTTACCAATATGACATTCTTAGCTTTAAAGTTCATCTGCGTTGTTAGAAGACATTTGTAACTGTAAAGAACCTTTGCTGATGGTCCGTTAGCGTTTGGTGAAAAACTTGATTTTTATGTTTTGTTCACAGCAAGAACCTAACAAAAGCTGCTTTCCTATCTGAGCTTTTCTGTATTGAAAATACTACAATAAAAATGGCATTTAAGTGCCAAGAGGGCAGGTTATTTGTTACTAGTCTGATACCAATCCAGCCTATCTTAAAATGTCACACAGAAACAATACAACAAGACACAACGCAGCCTCGAAAAACGTTGTTCCCCCAAAAAGAAGGAGGATGCTTGCTCGACTTGCTGGTGGTTCTTCGCACTTCGATGCGTTCAGCAGTGTCGGGACATATTCGTTCCAGAATGCATTGCGCCTGGCGAACAGGAAGTTCTTGGGAACGAGGGAGGAGTTTATTTCCAAATATGGACGCGATGTCGTCTGGTACTGTTCCCAGGTCACTCCGGCAACGGCAGACGGTGTGGGATTCCTTTTGACAGAAATAATTGTAACGTGACTTATAATAATAAAGATAAAAGTTAAATACTTACGGTTACAGTGTTATGACCAAAAAGAGAAACGATGGTGCTACTGTGTATCGATATCTGTTACTCAATGGATCACCTTTACTTTCATCTGAAGTTAACTCTCAAATACTCACTACTACACAGCTATGCCTTTCTGAAACCAAGCGACTTAATACTAGTAACTGATTCTTACTGCTATACTAAATTACGATATAATAACAGCTTAACTCTGTTCTTGTTTCCTGGGCGTTACCCATTTGACATTGTTTTGTGTTGTGTTGTGTTGTAATTTTTATTTTATGTCTAGTGGTGACGTGAATATAAGCCATATCGCTTGAGTGCGTCACCACTATTTATTGTATTGTGTGTACGTTGAACTAAAAAAAACGTAAGGGAACGACAACTTCAGCCATATCAAATGACTAGACATTCAGAGATAAATATTTTCCTGCCTGTCAGAGATTCTTACATTAAAAGTTTCCTCAGAAATCGGCACGGTTTTTGAGGCGTGCCTACAAGAAAATGTTCTAACTCACCCGTCCCTGGCGAAGTTAGTCCACAGTGTGAGCATGTTATCCCGGACAATGTTGTCCACATCGGTGTAGACCGGGGGCCTGTAGGGCTCTATACCGCGGGGACCGAACAGAAACGGCAGGTCCACTGTGTGGATGGCACCTGAGAGAGATGAAATCATAAATTACACACACCATCACGGACTAAAGACATAATTTTCTTCTAAAATTTTGCAAATAAGGATCCTATTTGCATAATCAGGAGGAATAATCTTAACTTTGTCAGTCATAAAGATTAACATCATTTGGCGAAGGTATGAGATCGTGGAACTCTAGTATTCTTTGATGTGATCGCTAATGATACACATATATGTAAGATTTTATGCTATCTATTTGTAATAACTGGGCGCAAGTTGTAGATACTCGACATATTTCATGCACTTAATGACATGCCAGTCGATATTCAGTAAAATCTGAATCTGAAGTCGATTTCCTTCCGAACATGCATTGTCAATAAAAAATGGTTTGCGTGACCCACCGAACCTGACCGGGTGTGGATCGTTGTCAGACCGGTGTGTGAAGTAGTACAGGTACGTCCCGGCTCCCGTGGCGGAGTGTCCGGCGACTAGCGCGTCAGTGGGGGAGTGGTACCCGTAGTTAGCCTGTCTCTGCCGGGAGAACACATGAACACAACATTTCACCTACTAGTATTTAGCTATTTCGATAAGAAAGCCTATAGCACCCCTTATGAATCTCCACTGTGAGTGTAGCGTGTTAAGCTACGGTCACAACCCGCCGTACGTGCTTCTGCGTGCTGTCTAAGTGCAAAAACGTGGGCAAACGCATGCGCAGGGCATCCGTGCGTGGTGAGTACCACCTCCGTACGGAATCCTACGGATTTGGGAGCACGCAGACACGCCGTAGAACTTTAAGGGCATGTAAAACTTTTTCTGCGTGCGGTCTACGGATTCACCACTCGTGCGTGCGAGTACGGGCGACGCGCGTGCCCCGTACGTACCGTACGAAAGACGCACGTGTGAGTACGGCCTCCTTACGGTAAAGTTGCAATCGCACAGAGATCGTACGTTGTAAGCACGTACAACTCACTTACCACTTGCGCAACGTACGATGCACGCAACCGCTCACGGCCAGACGTGGCGTGCAGGCCACACTCTTACACCTTGCGCAACCGTGCGAGTGACGTGCGTCGACGCCACTCCTTCCCTACGTTTTCAGAAAAAACGTAGCAGACGTAGCCTCCCAAAAAAACGTACGGACAAAAAGCACGTACGGCGGGTTGTGACCGAGGCTTTAGATATAAAAGACGTGCTTTATTCTGTTGACCAACGTTGATTGGTTACCTCCAGGTCGAGATCCCAGATGACGTCACGTTGTTCCGGGCGGGTCCAGTCGGTGTATTCCTGCAGCAGGGCGTTAAACATGGCGTCTGCGTTACCATGGTAACGCTGACAATGTGCCCGGAGCCTGGCCATGAATTCTTCACGACCGATTCCGTTTGGAGCATCTGAGGAAGGTAAAAAAAATATATTTACGTTCCGCCATCGGTGCCTCACCTGCTATGCTGACAGACGTAGAATGTCCAGACTGTACATGATGTACAAAATGACTAATAAACTGGTGGACGTACCAACTACTAAGTATCTGATACCAGCCCAGAAAAGAACACGTACAAGAAACCGTCGTGCCTTCAAATATCAGAGTTATCAACCAAGAATTGAGGTATTCAACAAACTCGTATTTCCCCGGAACTATTGTAGACTGGAACTTGTTGCCACCAAGCACAGTTGGGGCATCATCACTAGAAAGTTTTAAACGACTCCTGCAATCAAATGTGCAAAGATTGAGTGTAACAAGTCGTTCTGTGTGATATAGCTAGCTGCCGCCGCGCCGCGTGCCTGCGAAGCTGGTGTGTTACGCCGAAGGGCGGTTATACCGGCTGTACTGATACTGATACAGATATGTTGGTATCTTTTATGCATTTCAGTAGGTGAAGAGTTTGCTGACACTTTGGGGGTCTAATAAAAGAAGAAAGGTTTGCTTATGAAAACAGAGGCTATTGTGTGTTTTAGCTATGGTTCACTGAAACGCACATGGCCATGAATAATAGTCTACAAGCAGATCTCTCAGGGCACTCTAGCTGTATCTGCACTCTATCTGTAAAGCCGATATAACCGCCTTTCGGCGCAACACACCAGCTTCGCAGGCACGCGGCACGGCGGCAGCTAGCTATATCACACCGAATGACTTCTTACACCCAATCTTCGCACATTTAATTGCAGGACTCGTTTAAAGCTTTCTAATGATAATGCCCCAACTGTACTTGGTCACAGCGAGTTCCACTCTACCATAGTTCTAGGATATGAGTTTTTGAACACCTCTATTCTTGGTTGATAACTCTGCTATTTGAAGGCATGACTGTTTCTGTTCTTTTCTTGGCTGGTATCAGATACTCAGTGGTTGGTATGTCCAGCAGTTTATAATTTAACCTACCGTAGAAGTCCTCCCTGGGAACTGTCCCCGCCATTAGCGGTACCCTGTAGAAGCGGCCCTCCCGCAGCAGTCTTGCCGGTGCCTCGGGGATCACTCCTCCGGGTCCGTCCAGGTGTGGCGCCCAGACAGAGATCATCGGCGGGCCCTTCAACAGGTCCGGGAAACATAGAGACATCGGTAAGAACTGTGTACGAAAACCTTTATGCCCTCTTTCTTTCTTTCTTTCTTTCTTTCTTTCTTTCTTTCTTTCTTTCTTTCTTTCTTTCTTTCTTTCTTTCTTTCTTTCTTTCTTTCTTTCTTTCTTTCTTTCTTTCTTTTTCTTTCTTTCTTTCTTTTTCTTTCTTTCTTTTTCTTTCTTTCTTTCTTTTTCTTTCTTTCGTTCTTTTGTTCTTTCTTTCTTTCTTTTTCTTTCTTTCTTTCTTTTTCTTTCTTTTCTTTTTCTTTCTTTCTCTCTCTCTCTCTCTCTTTCTCTCTCTCTTTCTTTCTTAGGAAATCCATAGGAAATTTTAAGGAATCCATACGAATTTTACGAAATACATCCGATTCATTATAAGGAAACATACGAATTTTAAGAAATACATACGATTCATTATAAGGAAACATGCGATCCTTACTAATACGGTGATCCAGGCGCAGGTCATCAAATTAGTAAGGGTCGTAAGTTTCCGAGTAATGGATCGTATGAAATCCGTAAAATTCGTATGAATTCCATAAAATTCCTGAATTCCTGAACGAGAAGTTGGGACTAGCTGGGTCAATGAAAATACTAAATCCCAAAAACCAATCAAGCTTAAGTCAGCAACACGTGTACAGGTCCAGTGTACGTGTATTTGTACACCAATATAATGTCTGTATCACCCGAGCTATGACCATGGAGGTAGAACCTCCATGCTCTGACCTACCCGGACATATGTTGTGTAGAAGAGTTCTGCTGGCTTCTCTCTCAAACATGCGACCATGCTGCTGGAACTCTGCAACGGGAAGATTGGGAAGCGATGCCCGTAGTTATGTGAATAAAGCACAGAGTTACAGGAAGTGTGTGTGTGTGTGGGGGGGGGGG